TTTGTTTGCGAAATAGATACCTGAAGAGTTTTGTGCACGCTTGTTGCCATTTGAAAGGATAATAGGATATCTTGTAACACCTGTGATTTTCTCAATTTAGACAAAGTGAAATATGATTAAAAAAATAGCTGCTGAAGCTACCCTTGGAATTTGACATGTAATACCGCTGACTTTCCTTGAACTAAAGGGCGAAATGAGACAAACGAAATATCTATGATGCTGCTTTGTTGTGTTGTAGTTTAAGTGGAAAGAAATTCTTTGAGTAATTTATTCTTTTTGAAGAAAAGAATTTTGCTAAAAATTAGTTTCTTTGTAGAAAATTTGAAAAGAATAGTATCCATTGGATATCACGCATTCTTCAATGAATTGCCAGTTAGAAAGGAATGGATAGACTTTGCTCGGCAAATCGTCATGGATTGTTATTTGTTGCATCTCAAAACATTGATGTATTGCGTTGCTTATATTGGCGATTAATATTCTCGCAAAAGGTGCAGCTTGTTTTGTGCAACAGTTGCTTCTTTGAGAATTAGGACAGCGCATTCGGAGAAGAGAGGTTTTTCGTTGCTTTGACCATTTTTGAACATGCCTAGAATAACATTATGAAATATGCGCGACAGGATAGAGAAAATTGCGTTCAGAAATTATTTTCGCGAAATAGTCTACTTGGAGAAGGCAAAAAGTGATCTGCATATGAATTGAGGGCGATGCTGAGTGCATCCTTGTAAAAACCTGTGAAGTAGGTGTTTGCCGAGTGTTCAGTTTTGTTCAATCTGGAATCTCGTGTTAACATGCATTTATTCAATTTCTAACAAAATCGTACATGTTCAAGTCTTGTATTTTTAGAGATTTAGCTTTCAGTAGACATACATGCGTTACTCAGAAGCAGTAGATGTAGTGAGCTTGTTAGTTCACAAAACTTTTTATCGCTAAAATTGAGATGATTCTGTATGTCCTTTATCATTTTAATGCAACACTGCTTTTGTATTTTTATACTAGAGAAAATTTCTTACGAGTTATTACACATCTCTCGTTTCTTTTTAGATAATCATTAGAAAAAACAAAAACTATTAAATACTTGTAAATTATCCATCTATCTGGAATTTTCTCAAGAAAGGACAAACCTTTTTGATTGACAACTTAAAACTTTCTTTAGACATCATAATATCATTCTGAGCTACTGCCACAATTGTTACCTTTTTTGACATAGGAAGCTCCTTTCCTGTTTATGTTTCTGCTATGGAGGTTATCATACATTTGCTGCTTCCCTCCTTTTATCAACAACTTTTATGATAGCCACAGTGATGTAGCACAGTTGCACCGCTGTATTTCCACGTTTTGGCTAAGAATCGGGAGTCATGTATTTTTGTTATTACCTCCAGAGTGCTTGACATAGTGCGCCCTTACGGTTTAGAACTTTAGGTTTTTGTTTGGCGTTTATCTTGTTTCATTTATTTCATTATCTATTTGTCCTAGCAAACCTCTTTCCTCAAATAAATTTTTAGGAGCAGGCAGTGTCCACGACAGTTCGTGAATTTTTGCCGGAAGAAAAAGAAAAGAAAGTCTTAGAAGAATCAGGTGAACATTAAGTGTATTTACTTGCAATTATGCTAGGAAAACTAGTTTACACTTTGCATCTCCGCAAGGTATACTATTTCAAGAAGTAATACCAACAAAGCCTCCTGCTCTGGATCTCGATAAAGAGTCTGTTGCTGGACCGCCAAAAATGACCACTGCGCTCGAAACTGGTCCAGTGTCACAAGTGGACTCAGCCATTCCTGTGGCAAATGGAATTGCAAAAGAAGCAAATGAGGTGGGATAATGGACATTCATTTTCTTTTTTCTTTGTTGAATCTCTTTTGCATTCTCTGTAGAGGACATATTGTCCGCTATTACCGATGCT